GGTCAACAAGTGGCTGCTGGAGTTCGATACCAACAAGTGCAAGATAATGATGAGTGAGTAGAGAGAGAGAGAGAGAGAGAGGAGGGAAGAGAGAGAGAGAGAGAGAGAGAGAGAGAGAGAGAGAGAGAGAGAGAGAGAGAGAGAGAGAGAGAGAGAGAGAGAGAGAGAGATCTGTTAATTTAAATATACTGATTAAAATATTCTTGGCCCTCGTGTAGTCGATAGGCTTTAATTAAACCTAACACATCAACAACCAACCAACAAACCAAGAATCCTTCCTTCAGCCTGGTCATGTTGCTGGCAAATTATTATGGGGAGCGCTAAACCTGTATGGGTTATACAGTGCCTGTGGAGGGAGGATGGAAGGCATTCAGGCTCAATTTAAGGAACAGGAGGACAGATCCAATTCCCTAGATCATGAGCTCCTCACCAGAGTCAAGGAACCTCCCTTGAGGGGGAGGGGGTGTTCTCGCAAAGGGCTCTCGATCTGAGAATTGGAAGGTCCCTCCTTTTCCTTGGATCAAACCTAATTATCACCACCCTCCTTACCATTCAGAGGTCACTACTGAGCACCACAGTGTAAAACATGAATGGTGTCAACATGAGGCTTACAATAATTTTACCCTCTTATATTATTATTATTATATTCAAGGAAAAGTGTTCAACCAGTAGGGGTCATACAGCGTCTGGGGAATGTGTGGCAACCAGAGTCGATCCAAGGAAAGGGAGGACAAATCCAACTGACTGGATCAAGATCCCGTCACTCGCATCAAGGAACCTGTAATAATGTTGGTTGAATTACCGACAATATGTTAGGTCAAAGGACACAAGTGCGACATTTTTATTGTGGCAACGTTTCGCTCTCGAGGAGCTCTGTCAAGGCTCCTCGAGAGAGAAACATTGCCAAAATAAAAATGTCGCATTAATTGCACTTGTGTCCTTTTACCTAACGTCAAGGAGCCTCCCTTGAGGAGAGTGAATGTCGAGTATTTACTCACCTCTCCTGTAAGACGCAGAGCTACATCATGAGGTGTACACAAAACACACTAATATAGTCACGTTACTTTCCTTCAGTGTTAGTTTAGCTAGAAACAGTCTAGAATGAAACAGGACTGACACATTAGCTGTCCACCAAACACACTAATATCATTCTTAGTTTACTCTTAACTTAAGCTAGAAACAGGAAGTTTACGAAGAAATAAAATTATGAAACCTAGTGTCCAAATAGCAAACTAATATAATCTTAAGTTTACTTTTGAGCCGAGTGTTGAGGAGAAAAACGGGAAGTGTTGGAGTAATCAGTCGTCAACACAAGGGTAGAGAGAGCGTGAAGGCAGCACAAACATCACAGCCACACTGGCTACACTATTGGCTATTCTAAGTAGAACTCTTTCTTTAGCGACGTCACCCACCCGCTCTACACACACACACACACACACTCACATACTCGTGCGTGCATGTGTGAATGTGCGTGCGCACATTGACACATGCACGCACGCGCACATATAAGAGAGAAGGACCAAGGGATATATGATAAGAACGTAAAAGTTATAAGCTACGTACTCAGAAGCTTCGATAAGAGCAGACAGGAACAAACTGTTTCAAATGCGAGACACAGAGGCACCACAGAGATGTTGGAAACATTTCTCTAGTCTTAGTCTGTGTATGAACTCTATGGGTTTAGCACTATCCTCTGAATAATGATGCATACAGCAAGTTGTTGAGTAGCGTCCCGAAGGAGCAAAATCCCATTTTACACGTGATTGCCTTGGTGCAGACTAACCATATAAGAAATACGAAAACCGAATTTCCTAAGCGCTCTCGTTAAATTTACATCTGCAAGGGATTACAAAGGGAGAAGTAAACTAAACGAGAGTTGTTGAGGAGTTTTGCTTTTCAATTTTCTTAAGTGATTATTATTATGTGAATCGTGTTGATGGTAGGCGGGCACCATACCACACTGTTACCTTCAACATCTTTCCTGAAGACACTGCTACACCTGCTGCCTCTGTATTTGACTAAAGAAGCCTACTGTGTAGGCGAAACGTTTCATCAATAAAGATACCCAACTGTTGCATATGTGTCTTACTCATCAATCTGTCGGCATTTTATACCATTTTCAACACAACATGTTTCCTGGCTGGCCAGCACAACTGGCACAGGAGGATGCGAGCTGTTTGCCACGAGATAAAGCGACATACTCCTGACATGGGTCAGCCACAAGACCCATTCGTCACATTACGCACTGGACATATGACCGAGGCCTTCCGCTGGCTTACAGCATCATAAGGGGCATCCACTCAGTGTTCAAGTTATCAAGCTGTCATAATCTAAGTGTGAATTATTTGTGACTTAGTCTTTCCAGTAGCCTTACGACCCTAGTGTTATGTAAACAAAAGCCTGCCTAAACTTGTTCTTTTTTACTCTAAATCTCATATCTGTTCCCTTAAAAGGGGATGAGTGCCTCGTAACTGGTGAAGGGTTCTTGATTTAAGGCACTGAAGCCACTTTCCCCTTCCTCGGTTGAAATTTGATTACCCCTTCCCCACCCATCCAATTCCACATGCGCTGTCCCCACCCATCCAATTCCACATGCGCTGTACAACCTTGAGAGCGTTTACATATTCCTCCATGAATACAATAACAATCTCATGTGTATTAATAGCAATCCCATGTGTATTAATAACAATCTCGTGTGTATTAAACAATAAATACTGAGCAGCGTGTGTATAGATTCTTGGTGAATATATACCCCACGGCCACATTGGTAGTGTCTCTAACATGTTGATGCACGAGGTTTTCCAGTAATGCCTCCATCATCCTGGTCCTCCACGTTTTTGGTCCCTCATGTGGCTCCAGGTTTCCCAGTCAGTCTCCTTGTGATTTAAATCACCCACAACTAGTAACTTTACCCTATCCGTATGGGCCCTTCTGGCCACCTCAGCTAGTGTGTCCACCATTGCTCTGTTGCTCTCATCATACTCTTGTCTTGGCCTCCTGCTATTCTGTGGTGGGTTGTGTGTGTGGGGGGGGGGTGATTACCTATTTGTAGCTAAAGGAGCAGAGGAAGAGAGAGAATTCAGATAAGGAAATGTGAAAGATCAATGAGGGATGGAAATGGGAAGGCGGGAAGTGGGAAGGAAGGATGGACAAGGAAGTAGAACTGAAGGATAGAAGTAGGAACAAAAAGGAAGGATGGAATCAGTCAGGATGGGAAGGAAAGTAGAGAGGGGGGGATAGGCTAAGGAAAGTAGAGAGGGGGGATAGGCTAAGGAAACAGTAAGTACGAAGGCTGTGGTAAAGAAAGAAAAGAAGGAAGGATGAAGGAAATATAACGAGAGAACAGGGCAAATGAAGTAGAATGAAAGAAAGAGGGAGGGAGAAGAGGAGGAACGGAAGGAGAGAGGGAGGAGACGAGGAACGGAAGGAGAGAGGGAGGAGAGGAGGAACGGAAGGAGGGAGGAGAGGAGGAACGGAAGGAGAGAGGGAGGAGAGGAGGAACGGAAGGAGGGAGGGAGGAGAGGAGGAACGGAAGGAGGAAGGGAGGGCAGGAGGAACGGAAGGAGGGAGGGAGGAGAGGAGGAACGGAAGGAGGGAGGGAGGAGAGGAGGAACGGAAGGAGGGAGGGAGGAGAGGAGGAACGGGAGGGAGGGAGGAGAAGGAGGAACGGAAGGAGGGAGGAGGGGAGGAGAACGGAAAGGAGGGAGGGAGGAGAGGAGGGAGGGAGGGGAGGAGGAACGGAAGGAGGGAGGGAGTAGAGGAGGAATGGGAGGGAGGGAGGAGGAACGGAAGGAAGGAGGGAGGAGAGGAGGAACGGAAGGAGGGAGGGAGGAGAGGAGGAACGGAAGGAGTGAGGGAGGAGAGGAGGAACGGAAGGAGGGAGGGAGGGGAGGAGGAACGGAAGGAGGGAGGGAGGGGAGGAGGAACGGAAGGAGGGGGAGGAGAGGAGGGAATGGAAGAAGGGAGGGAGGAGAGGAGGAACGGAAAGGAGGGAGGGAGGGGAGGAGGAACGGAAGGAGGGAGGGAGGAGAAGAGGAACGGAAGGAGGGGAGGGAGGGAGGGGGAGGAGGAAACGGAAGGAGGGAGGGGAGGAGGAAAGAGGAACGGAAGGAGGGAGGGAGGGGAGGAGGAACAGAAGGAGGGGAGGGAGGAGAAGAGGAACGGAAGGAGGAGGGAGAGGAAGAGGAACGGAAGGAGGGAGGGGAGGAGGTTACGGAAGGAGGGAGGGAGGGAGGGGAGGAGGAACGGAAGGAGGGAGGGAGGGGAGGAGGAACGGAAGGAGGGAGGGAGGGGAGGAGGAACGGAAGGAGGGAGGGAGGGGAGGAGGAACGGAAGGAGGGAGGGAGGGGAGGAGGAACGGAAGGAGGGAGGGGAGAGGAGGAGGAACGGAAGGAGGGAGGGAGGGAGGAGGAACGGAAGGAGGGAGGGAGAGGAGGAGGAACGGAAGGAGGGAGGGAGAGGAGGAACGGAAGGAGGGAGGGAGAGGAGGAGGAACGGAAGGAGGGAGGGAGAGGCAGGGAGGGAACGGAAGGAGGGAGGAAGGGGAGGAGGAACGGAAGGAGGGGAGGGAGAGGAGGAGGAACGGAAGGAGGGGAGGGAGAGGAGGAGGAACGGGAGGGAGGGAGGGGAGGAGGGAACGGAAGGAGGGAGGGAGGAGGAGGAACGGAAGGAGGGAGGGAGGGGAGGAGGAACGGAAGGAGGGAGGGAGGGGAGGAGGAACGGAAGGAGGGAGGGGAGGAGGAACGGAAGGAGGGAGGGAGAGGAGGAGGAACGGAAGGAGGGAGGGAGGGTGGTTGGCTGCTTTGTCGGTTTGAGACAGAAAGAAAAAGCTGTCAATTATTAGGCATATTTATGTGAAGCGCTAAACCCGTGTGGGTCATTCAGCAGCAGGAGTGGTGGAGGCCCGATCCTCCTTCCGCTCATTGTCAGTTGGACGTGCTGCTCTCGCAACCAACCACGCTAAGGGATGAAACTAAAAAGCAAAAGCAAAAGGGACTCACCTTTTCGGGTTCCAGTTCGTTGTCGGTGGGCGGGACGAAGAGCTGGGAGAGGCGCCTCTGCCACACTGGCTCCTTGTCCTCCTCTACCTCTGTAACATCAACAAGATATCACCACCAGTTGCTGCAGCAACCATCTATCATCAACAGCCAGCACACTGGTATACACACAATACCAATCACCGTATTCAATAAAAGGTTCGATACGTGAATGATCTATTCTACAGAGACTTGAAGTGACGGAACGACTAAAGTTGGGAATGACTCAACTAAAAATTGCTCTAAACAGACTAGGAATTACTCTTAATATTTTGTGAATGATTAAGCAGACTGGGAATGAATGAACAGACTGGAGTGACTAAATACACTTGGAATAACCATAAATAACTAGGAATGGCCCCAAGTAAACTGGTAAAGACTCTGGAAGCAAAAAAAAAAAAATACGAAATACCCTCAATGGTTTAATAGAGCTTAAACTCTAAGCAAAACTGCATATTACTGTTTAATGTGGTGACTGTATATAACTGCTGTAGATGACCTTCACGCACCTTCACTCTGGAGTGATGCTGAAGGTGAAATCTTGCGCCTCTGGTCGAAGGGATCTCCTTCACACGGGACAACCGTTGCTGGTTTCTGGGGGGCACCCACTGCTTCCCTTTTCACAGATGGGACTATGGTAAAGACATGTGCTCTTTCCTTTATGATGGGCGAGCCGGAAGGAGATGTCTGGTCAACCTTATGTGTCGTTACTAGTGGAGGCAGCATGTTCCTTACATTCGCCTTCAGTTCTGCTAAGCGATTTTTTCTTCTGCAAGTCGCTGGGCTGTAGAGTTTTAAATTTAGGAAATTTGAAGGGGGATTTACAGGGGCTTTGGCTATTTTGTCACGGGTCTTTGAAGCAAAACATCCGTTGTATTTCGGAAAGGCAGTCTTGGGCGCGGTTGGCCCCGCCTTCGTAACCGCCTCAGTATCGTTCGATGATACGGTCGAAACTGTGGCATTTGGCGGCGACATCCTCCCAGTAGCTGAAGCCGTCGGTGCAACATTTGTATCTAGAGGAGTGGCTGAGGGAGAGTCGTCAATGAAATCTATGCTTGAAAGCATTGTGGAAAGATCACCTCCCGACTCGTTGGTCATGGTCTGGTCGCTGTTCTTGTTGGCCGGTGAGGTGAGGCCGACTTTGATCGGAGTGATTCCAGCGAGGATCTCCACCGAGGAGGACCTCCTGAGGACTCCCGAAGAGGCTGTCCTAAGGATCCCAGGGCATCCCTGTTGCTGATGCTTCTCTGCCATCCTGCTGTAAGGAGAGAGAGAGATTGAGAAGCATTCGTCGTATAGTAAACTTGTAAATTGGTGCTATGCATGCCAAAGGCTAACAAACCTGTGTTATAACCAAGACCCAGCAAACTGGTGGACTGATACCGAAGACTCAGCAGACCGTTGCTATGATACCCAAGACTGTAAACTTTTGGACTGATACCCAAAACTCAGCAAATTGATGCTATGAATACCCAGAATCCATCAATTGCTATAATTCAGCCACAACGATCATTAAATTTTTAGTTTATGTATATCAAGAGTGAGTAAATCATCAATGGAAGTCGATCCGAGAGGATACTAATCTCAGCCTAGTAATGCTGGACGTGTAGCTCGACCTGCATATTAAATTTCTATTAATGCAACATCATGTTAAAACACACACACACACACACACACACACACACACACACAAAACACACACACACACACACACACACACACACACACACACACACACACACACACACACACACACACACACACACACACACACACACATCAGGAGGAAGACAACAGTCAAAGACCAGGTGATCAGATTAAGGACAGAAGGTGGAGAACTCACAAGAAATGATCAGGAGGTATGTGAGGAGCTGAACAGGAGATTCAAGGAAGTTTTTACAGTAGAGACAGGAAGGGCTGTGGGAAGACAGAACAGAAGGGAACATCGAGAGGGAATATACCAACAAGTGTTGGATGACATACGAACAACTGAGGAGGAGGTGAAGAAGCTCTTAAGTGACCTTGACACCTCAAAGGCGATGGGACCGGACAACATCTCCCCATGGGTCCTTAGAGGAAGGAGCAGAGATGCTGTGTGTGCCTCTAACCACAATCTTCAACACATCCCTTGAAACTGGGCAACTACCTGAGAAATGGAAGACAGCTAATGTAGTCCCCATATTTAAGAAAGGAAACAGAAACGAGGCACTAAACTACAGACCTGTGTCTCTGACATGTATCGTGTGCAAGGTCATGGAGAAGATTATCAGGAGGAGAGTGGTCGAACACCTGGAAAGGAACAAGATTATAAATGAAAACCAGCATGGGTTCATGGAAGGCAAATCTTGTATCACAAACCTCCTGGAGTTTTATGACAAGGTAACAGAAGTAAGACACGAGAGAGAGGGTTGGTAGATTGCGTTTTCCTAGACTGCAGGAAGGCCTTTGACACAGTTCCCCACAAGAGATTAGTGCAGAAGCTGGAGGATCAGGCACACGTAAAAGGAAGGGCACTGCAATGGATAAGGGAATACCTGACAGGGAGGCAGCAACGAGTCATGGTACGTGAAGAGGTATCACAGTGGGCGCCTGTTACGAGCGGGGTCCCACAGGGGTCAGTTCTAGGACCAGTGCTATTTTTGATATATGTGAACGACATGATGGAAGGAATAGACTCTGAAGTGTCCCTGTTCGCGATAAACTGAAGTGATGAGAAAAATTAAAATCGGACGGGGGGATGAGGCGGACTGCAAAGAGCCCTGGAGGGGTTTGGACTGGGGTTTCCAGAAAACTGGCTTCTCAAATTTCAATCCCCCAAAAACCCAAGTCATGAAGTTGGGGAGGGGAAAAAAAAAGGACCGCAGAAAAGGAGTATGGGCCCTAGGGGACAAGATACGGGCCCTTTCATCGGGGAAGAAAGACCTTGGGGGGGACCAAAACCCACCGAGCACATCCCCGGAGGCAAACTAAAACCAAAAAAAAACCCCCTGCAGCTTACGGGCCCCCGGGAAAACCCTAAAAAAAGGGTTTCCCGATCCCCTTAAAAAGGGAAAATGGTTCAAGCCCACTGTACATTTGTGTTTGTTGGCCCTATGGAGTTTCCCGCACCGCTGGAACCCCCCCGGTCAAGACGTAAAGGGAAGTTAGAAAAATTTAAAAAGGTTTGCAACAAGGCTAGTCCAGAGCTCAAGGGGAATGTCGTACGGGGAAAAGGGTTTAAGGGGAAAAATCGGACTGACGAAAATTGGGGACAAAAGGGGTCAGGGGAGACATGAAAACGACATAAAAAGTTTATCCCGGGGAATAGACAAGGGGGACAGAGATGGATGTTCCAGAGGGGGGGAACACAGGGACGGGGGTCACAACTGGAAGCTAAAAGACCCGGGGACGATCACAGGGCTTTAGGAAGTATTTCTTCATTTCATAGAGTTGTCAGCAAGTGGAATCCCCCTAGAAAGTGAATTTGGGTGGAGGCGGGAAAACCCTACATTGTTTTAAAAAGGGGTATGAAAAAGTCGGGAAAGCAGAGAGGAGAGGATCCAGTAGCGACCCAGTAAAAAGAGGGGGGGCCAGGAGCTGGGGTCTCGACCCCTGAAACCCACAATTTAGGTGAGTACAATTAGGTGAACACACACACCCACACCCACACACCTTGGGACTCCGCAACACAAAATAATTATCCTAGTTTGACATTTTGATTCTCCAGCTTCTTTCCTAGCCCCAAAACCCAAAACCAACCCACATCCAAAATACTGAACTTTCCCAAAACTTAATCTTTCCTACCCCCATCATCCTGCACCCCCGCCCTTTTAAAACCAAAAAACATCTTTTTCACTGTTATTAAAAAAGTCAAAAGGAAGAAAAATTTAAACCCCAGATGGAAGTTAATAGTCAGATGAAAGATTATTTTGAGTCAGATGGAAAATTGATGAAGGGATCTTAAAGACTAAAAATTTTGAACCCCAAATAATGTTACCAAGGGAAGGTGGAAGCCGTTTTCCCTTTGCTCCCGTTTTTGGGTTTTTTTTAGCCTTGTCTTTATATATTTTTTTTTTTTAGTTGGGGGTATGTTATAAATGGTGCAAACTTCGTTGGGCCCACATCCCTTGACACACATCGGGAAATAATGTCTCTCGTTCTGCCCCAAGATTAACCTAAGTTGCCCCGAAATGCCCCCCCATAGCCCCGGAATAAAATATAAAAATAATGTCAAGTAGGTCTGTATTTGTCGCATTTTATTTTTCTTGTAGAAACAAAGATTTATTTTTATTATTTTTCATTTTATTATTATTATTTTTAATATTATTATTATTATTTTTATTATTATTATATAAAAAAAGTGGGTTTAAAACCCCTTTTTTATTTTTTATTATTATTATGTGAAAACTTTTGGTGTGATGGAAAAATGACGGAAAAGAAAGTTACCTTAGGTTTTCCCCTGTGTACCTCTGTATTTAGAATTTGGGGGGTAGCAGCACTGCTGATGTATTTTAAGTCTCCAATTAAAAAATAATAAAAAAAATTTCCCTTGACGGGAAGGGCCGCTGCGAACATGATAGCCGGGGGGAAAATGATTAGAACCATACTGAAGGAACATGAGCAGGAACACGATCAGGTGAGGAAGAAATACAATGAGGAGATGTTGCAGCCTCGAGTTAGTTAATTCATCCTCACGCTCGTTCCCCCTCTCTGACAACACCCTACCTATCTGTGCAACCAAGTGAATATACCTGGCTAGCCTATCTCGCGATTACTACACGGTAGATCGAGCCTCCGCCACCCCTTGCGCTGAATAACCCACAAGGGCTTAGCGCATCGCATAAATAAATATAGAAATACGCGACACTCAGAATAATACAATGTTAGTTGCTCAACTAAAATAAAAATATTATTGCATCAAGGTCTCTTGGCCTGCCTGTGCGTGCCTGCGGTTGGTTGGTGTTAGGTTTATATCCTATCGACTGCACGAGGATCATTAAAAATCTACACCACTAGTCAAGAATATTTTCATTCTTAGTAAAGGAAATAAAGTAAATTATCATTGAGATATACACCTTGTAGTGTATGCAGACTGAGATACACACTCATGGTACATACGAGTATACAGATAACTAGTGGTGTATATACACTGACAGATACACCGTATGGAAAAACAATCAGGCTGCAGTATTAGGGTTGAAAACAGCAGATATTACCGAGATACCTCAGGGATATGTTTAAAAGACAATATTCAAAATAAAGTTGCTAGTAAAGGCAAATCAATTGATCAACAAAGAGAGATAGTAGAGGGCAACGAGTGACTAGCTCCCTTAAGGGTTATATGGCGTTTATGGTGCACATGAGATCGCAGGGTGAGTGGCGTTGCAAATTTACGTGGCGCTGGGCAAAGTTATGTGCTCGTGTCTCGTTGTCAAGTCAGGTGATCAAATCTGGTTTTCAAATCTGGATTCAAACTTAGGTTATCAGTACAACAATCTCACTGGTGATGCACCACGTATGAACCCAAACGACGGGTGCGGAAAAATCTAAGGTTCGCAAGGGTTGTAAGACAAGTCAAGGGTAGCAGTACTTGTCAAGATCCAGCAAGTGTTGTGAGACACGACCAGTCAAGGGTGTTGTGCAACCCGAGCCGGGCAGGCAGGAATAACAATTAGGAGGCAGAAGAATAAAGGACACAATACCTTGGCTGGTATCTAAGTACGGGTGACTAGCGGAATTCCTCTAGATCAGTGCTTGAACCTCTCCTGTTCGTAATATACAATCAGATTACCGAGTCCAGCACAGGAAAGCCAGCAGTCACAGCTGCAGTGACTGAGAGTAATATCGGAACTAAGGGAGGAATGGACTCAGGTGATCCTAATGCACCAGATGCAGAGATAGCGAAGGGAAAACACAATACACGTTTCAATATTAGGTATAAGTGGGTCCCTAAAGACCAATAATCGATAAATACGGTCCATAACAGTTATGAGCATGGTCAGACGATATGACACGACGCCTTCCAAAACGACTGGATAAAGCAGGGGTATCCAGGGTACCTCTGGATACCCTGCTTCAAGTGGCGTTCAATAGCCCCAGGACTGACTGAAACTGGAGAAAGCCAAGAGTGTGATCACTAGGAAATACTTGGAAGTTGCCCGCCGGGTTAGGAGTATCACCTTGCATTCCTCAACACACGTCACTGTGATGCTGCAACACTTATACTCGCCTTTTCTAATGTGGATTCAGTTATACAAATCTTATTATATGATACAAGTA